CCTCCCGGCGCCGGACGCCTGGGTTCCTTCCTCACCACCCCTCCCGGCGCCGGACGCCTGGGTTCCTTCCTCACCACCCCTCCCGGACGCCTGGGTTCCTTCCTTGCCCCCTCTCCCGGCGCCGGACGCCTGGGTTCCTTCCTCGCCACCTCCTGGTGCCGGACGCCTGGGTTCCTTCCTCACCACCCCTCCTGGCACCGGATGCCTGGGTTCTTTTGTCACCCCCCCCCCCATTCCAGCACCAGACGCCTGGGTTCCCTCCCCGTCCCGGAGCCCCAGCGCTCCCCACCTCCTCGGTCTCCGCCGAGCGGCGCGTGGCCCAGACGAATTCCATGACGGCCACAAAGACGGCAACGACGAGTCCGCAGATGAGAACTACAAAAATGCCCCCGATGTTCTCCATGCCCAGGCCTGGGGGGAGAGACGGGGTCAGGGGGGGCTGGCCGCACTCCCCCACACACTGCCAGTCCCCCCCCCCCAGCTGGGCCTGCAGCGCCCCCCGGCCCCCCTCACCTTTGGCCCGATGATCCTGCTCCTTGGGGCACTTGCCCCCTTCCCACCACTTGCGCTTGAGGATCTCGAGCCGGTTGTTCTCCTGCAGCTGCAGAATGGCCAGCGTGATCTCGTCCCGGAACGGGGAGCCTGGGGAACGGGGGGTCAGGACACTGCGGGCACGGGGGGGCTGCCCCCAGCCTGGCCCCAGGGAATGGCCCAGCTCCCCAGCTGCCTTTCCGCCCCCCAGGACCCCCCAAGAGAACAGCCTCTGCTCCCCTGCAACCCGCTGCCCCCTGCTCCCCAGAACCCTCCAAGAGAACAGCCTCTGCCCCCCACATGGCCTGCTCTGCCCCCCTGCAAGCCACTGCCCCCTGCCCCCTGCGAGCCCCCAAGGGAGCAGCGGGTCACTGACCCACGGGTGGTCTCCGAGCTGTGTGGTCGTGTCCCTTCCCAGGCGGGTCTGTGCGGGCCGCGGGCACCGGGAGTCCTCCCAGCGGTATCGGGCAGGTCGGCAATTCCCCGGCACGGTAAAAAGGCCCCCGCTGCCCCCTCGGCCCCTTCTCGCCGGCAGCGGGATGTGGAACGGACACGAGTGGGGAGGTCGGGAACGTCTGTTCTCCTGCGAGTGCCGTGCATCTCCATGACAGTCTCCCTCCCCGTGAGGCGACCCCCCGGCCCTCATGCGGCAGCTCTGCGGCGGGCTCAGCCCCCCGGGCCTGCATGGACGACCAGGTGATGCCCGGCACATGTCCAGCCGGGACCTGGCTGCCGAGCCCTGGCAATCCTGGCGTGCGCCATCGAGAGTGGGAGCGAGACCTTCGCCAGGTCGCAGCCTGGGACAAGTGGGCGGTTCTAGGTTTTTCCAGTGGGTTGCATGCAGGGGGTGGGACTCAGTTTCCCTGGGCGTTACTGGTTTAACGAGGTGAGGGGAGAGGGAGTGTGTTTTGCAGAGGACCGGAGAGAGGACGTGGGGACCCAGCCGGTGGCCAGGAGGATGGATACCCCAGCGACCTGGTGACCCAGAGGCCCAGCTGAGGAGACGCAGCCGGTTCTGGCCAGTGGGAGGACAATGGGCTGCAGAGTGAGGACCCAGTGACCTGACCAGCCGGTTCCAGCCAGAGGGAGAAGCAGGAGAGGAGGCCCCGGTTTACGACCCTGTTTACCTGGAGGGAAGACAATGGACAGGGGCGGGGCTTGGGGCCGGGGGTATCAGATGCCCAGCTGGGGAGCAGGGGATCTCAGGGCTGGAGAGGGGGAGCAGGCAGAGCCCACCTGGATGCAGAGAGACTGGGATGTGCTGGGCTGAGGGAGGCCAGGCCTGAGGCCGGAGAGTTTCCTGTGCTGGGTTCAGACGCTCAATAAACCTCCTGTGTTACGCTGGCTGAGAGTCGCTCCGGGCTAGAGAACGGGACGGGTGGGGGGCCCGAGTGAGTGGACTCCCTGAGGGCAGACAGACGTGCTAAGGCTCAGAGAGGTGCGGCTCCAGGAGGTGGAGGGGCCTGACCCTGGGAGAGAGTGGACCCCCGAGAAGGGCTGTCGCACTGAAGGGGGTTCCCCCCACGGACCGCATGGGGCCAGGAGTGGGCCTGACCTGGGAGTCCGTGACAGCCCATGCGGATGCAGGACGTGATGCAAAAAGAGATTCTCTGGGCTGACTCGGTTCCCTTCCATCCTGTCCGTGGCAGCGACGGAGACTTGAGCAGACTTTCGCTGTACAAAGCCGGTGCCCAGCTGACGTCCGGAGTCTCTGTTCTCCCGGCTTCGGACAGAGCCCGGAAGAAAACCTCCCGGGTCCTGCGCCCGCCGTAGGGATGTGGGCAGAGTCGCACCTTGGCCTGACGAACAGCGCGGGACCCGGATCTCCGAGACTCCCCGGCCAAGGGAACGGCCACCAGGAACCCTTGTCGGCTTTGCCAGACGTGCCGCTCTGACTGGCGGGTTCCTGCTCCCCAGGACGGCTCTCGGAGCCGCGCCCAGCCACGGAGCCGCCTCGCCGCCCGGTGACGGGTCCCGCGGTCCGGGCCGAGCCCGCGGCCCTGGGGCTGGTTGGCTGACAGGTCTAGTAGGGTCTGCCCTGGCCCGGAGCAGAGCCGTGGGAGAAGGGGCACAGGGGGAAAGGCCTCGCGCAGTCTCCCTTCCTGTGGCACACAGACGGCGTCCAAGAGGGAGCCGGGCCTGTGTCCCGGATACGAGCAAACCTGGGGGCATTTCCTGCCTGGCCGCAGCTGGGTCTATGTGGGGGAGAAGCCGGGTCTCCAGGTGTCCGGGCGAACGGCCAGGCGTGAGCATTGGGGATCTGTGATCCCGGCCAGGAAAGGGCCTCGGGTGAACCCCAATCCTGGCCCTGCCACGTCGCGATCGGATTGTCTGTATGGACCGACGTGCCGCTCTGAGCTCGGTGACGCTAATTCCTCCTGGGTCTGGGGGGTCCCGTCCCCTCCCGTCCCGTCGGTGAGCAGCGCCACTGCCGGGGCAGTGAGAGCGCCAGCCTGGGACACGCCCCGACGTAGCCACGACTGGAGGGGCCGCATCTGAGCCACATAAGTCCCACGTTCCCTCGGAGCGTCCGGCAGCCCCTGGCTGCGGTGATGGGACGTCCCAGAGCCTGGGTGCTGCGAAGCCCTGAAGCGGTTCTCCTGGATCCAGCCGGGAACCACCCCTACGATCCGTCCCGAGCCGGCGAGACGGGCGAGACCCACAAGCGCCTCCCCCGTATGCCAGGGCCGGGCAGACCCGCGCGTCCCCTCCCGGGCCAGCCCCCCTGCGGTGCCCGGGCAGCGAGCGATGCTGTGGGGTCGGGCCCCGGGAGGAGGCAGGGGGTGCTGCACCCCCATTGCTGGCTTGCCCAGGACCGGGACCTGTCCCCCGGAGCTGGCCCTTGTGGGTCACAATTCGGGGCAGATGGTGTTGGGAGGGCAGGCTCCTCTCCATGGCTCGCCCTAGGTGGGGCATCTGCGGGCACCTTCCCGGGGCCAACCAGTCAATGCCCCTTTGGGAGCAGCCTGGCGCTGGCTCCTTGGCCTTGGGACCGGGCGGGGGGTCTGCTACAGGAGGCCGGGGCTCGGGCTGCCGCTCCCACGAGGGGGAATTTGAGTCTGTCCCTCTCCTAGGTTCTGGGTTTAAAGTTCTTACAGAGCCGGCGCTGGACTATGGCCCTGTCCCAGGTGTGTGGGACCCTGGTCTGCGCTGCCGGAAATCCCGCAGCCCCGGGCGTGATCCAGCTCCGTATTCCAGCCCAGACTGCGCTGGAACCGCCAAGGGGGGGTCGCTTGCGTCCCAGCAACCGGGCGGTGAGAAGGGACCGAGGGGCAGCGGGGCCCTTTTACCGCGCCAGGGAGGTGCCGCTCCGGGGGGCACCAGAGCCGACCTGTTGGATACCGCTGGGGACGACGCCCAGCGCCGGCGCCCACAGACCCGCCTGGGAAGGGACATGAGCTCCCAGCTCGGAGACCAGCCTCTGCCCCCCATCCCCATCCGCCGGAGAGACCAGCCTGACCCCAACAACCCCCCGTCCCAGCCCCATTTGGAGGAACACCCTCGGCCCCCCATACCTCCCCGCACACAGTCCTGACCTATCCCTCCCTGCGAGCCCCCCACCAGCCCCCAGGAGTCGCTGATGCAGGGCCCCCCCGGGGCAGGGACGGAGCCCCCCAGCCCCCGCCCAGCCCCCGCCCTACCCAGGGGCAAGCCGATGCCGTAGCCTTTGGTGTCCAGCAGCCCCCCGATCTGGGTGAGGTTGCAGTTGCGGCGCCGGTGATACTCGTTCATGGTGGACTCCAGCAGGAAGGCGTATCTGGAATTCAGCACCCGGGCGATTCCCTCCTCCGTGCTCTTCACGAAGACGCTGGGCTGCTTGGAGTGCATGTAATTCCACATCCGCTGGTAGGTCTGGTACCGCGAGTTCTGCGGGAGGGGAGAGCCGGGCCTGCCACAGCTGCGGGAGCCCAGGGCGGGGCCAGCAGGGGCTGCGGGTCGGGAGTGAGGGGCACCGGCAGGGCTGGGGGGGGCAGGGGCTGCGGGTCAGGAGTGAGGGGC